CTGATGGTTGAGGGAACGTGAGGAGCCGGGAACGAAGGGCGCCGCATCGGCTTTCATCTTGCTGACAAAGGGCGCCGCCGTGGCCTTCAGCATCTTGCTGGGAAGACCGGCCACCGCCTTCACGGCCACACTCGACGAGCCATTGCTCGAGGCGATGGAGCTGGCGCTCGAGTTTGAGGAGTTTGAGGAGTTTGAGGAGGTGGCCGAGTTCAGCGATTCCAGTGAGCTGCTGTTGCTGTTGTAGCTGCTGCTGCTGCTGTTGTTGTTGACGACGGTTTTCGAAGATGAGGATGAGGAGGAGTTGGCAGAGGGGGTAATGGACTTGCTTAGAAGGGGAGGTGGTGGGCTGCTGCTGCTGCTGCCACAGTCCTCCTCCTCATTGCGAGTGGTATCGATTGGGGGTGACATTTTGCTGTTGTTGCTGTTTCCGCCGCCGCCGCCCCCACAACCATAGCCACTGCCACCGATGTTTTTAGGTGAAGAACTATTGGCGGTGGCCACGCTGGTGGTGGTGGTGATAATGGCGGTGGACATCAGGCGTTGGATCTCTGGTCATCAACTGGTGAACTGGTAAAGGACACCTAAACAATGTGAAAAGGAGAGCAAAAGAGGGTTAAGGGCAATTTGAGTTGGCTTGCAAGTGTGTGTTATTTATAAGAAAGAAGTAGGGCAGCGGACGATGTAGAGGATAGGATGCAAAGGTGTAGAGGAAAAGTCAGTCAGGTTTGCTGATTTCAGATGATTTCAAGGATAAGACTGAAAGAGTGCTGACTGATATGGGCGCAAGAGATGCTGAGCAAAGTGCAACACGCCAAAAGGATGATAACTGTCTGTCGTACACTTCCACAAAGCAGTGCTATTATCAACGAAAACAAAACGGCAATTTATCAGCTACAACTATTATACACAATGCACAGGTATACAAATGTTTACTGTGGTCAAGTGTTTTTCACTTGAAAATGTGGCTCATTTTTAATCAGTTGTAATAATTTAACTTGTGAAACAAAATAAAAAGGCACTTAATGTTTAAACTAAAAATAAATAGAAATTTTTGATTTAGCGGCATTACCAGTAAATAAAGGCAAATTGAGCAGACTGGAAAAGCTAAGCATTTCTGTTTTCTTGATTGCGCAAGCAAAAATCACTTGCCATCACTTCGTCGATCACTAAATCGGCTATCATCTTCATCATCATCTCAACTCAGCCAAACACGGGAACACTGAGTGTCAGTTGAGTGTTCCACTGTACACTTTTTTCTATTTTTATTTTGATCAGCTGTACAAAATGCTTATGGAATTTAATGGTGGCCCACTTTGCAGCTACCACTGATGTGCCCACTGCCAACCGGAACTAAACCGTGGTGCTAGCTAACCAATCTGAGCCCATCAATTGCTGCCAAGTATCACAAAGAGGCGGGCACAGCACAACTTCCACAACAAATCAACAAATCTAATTGTACTGTGCTACTACTGTTCTACTAAACAGTCTGTACAAAACAATAGTCAAAGGGGGTGATTATCATCAGCACGACAATTATTGTACAAACGGAACTTAAAGAAAGAATGATAAAGGAGAAAACTTAGGTACATCCTAAGCAGTCGTAGTGGACGATTTGTGACATGATTTTTTTTGCGTTGTACAATGAATGCAAATACTAGTGGAAGAGTAAACTGACTGACATTAAAAAATTAGTGCGTTACTTTTTGTGCTTAAACATGCATCTTTTTTTTCTCAATTCACTTTTGTGCTCAATTTGCAAAAAAATAAACTAGTTGCTGCAGTGCCAGTCAAAAGAGGACAACCAGTTGATTTGAGACAAAATGAAATTTAATATTTTCACTAAACAAAATAGAAAGACGCATTCACGTTGATAAAGAAATTAGCAAAAATGTTGTTCAACTTGTCTCATAAAAAGTTATGTAAATGAGGTTTTTAAAACAAAAATAGATTTTAACACTAAATCTATGCAAATATGCCGATTACATTTAGATTGGACAGTTTCTATTTAACACTACTGCACTGTTTACGATTAGTTTGCTAATTGAACGTGTTTGCACGTATTTGTCAATTTATTTTTTGTTTTTTCTTATTTTTATTTACTAAGATGGGCAATAAAAAGCAGGTTCAAATGATGAAATCTTTTAACTGTGATTTTGTTTTGCTTTTTTATTAACGAAACAGACGAAAATGAGCACAGCGCAAACACTGATTACCTTTTTTATTTGGCAATTTTAGTTCAGTTCAATGACTTCCTAGAAACATCGAAAAAAATGCAATAATGCAAAAATGTATAAACAAGAAAAAGAAAAAGAAAACTATTTGACTTCAAATTGTGAATCACTCTTTATAAAATTAAAAAGTGTTACTTGAAAAGACGAAAACAAAATAAAAAACTTGCGAAAATTAAATGCGGCAATTTGCTGATTTAATAAAGACGAAATGCGAACGATTATACTCTTTTGTCCAAAATCAAACTGGTTTTAATGAACATTGCAAAACGGCAAAAACAGCAAAATAAGTAAAATCCAAGTGTCATAAATTTTTATTCACTTTAGTTGAGCTCACAGAGCGACTAACAAACAAAATAAAAAAAAGATTTCAATAGACGGAAAACGTTCAAATCAAATCTAAATTGATGATGATTAAAAAAGTTTACTGCCAAAACACACACGATTTTGTGTCACTGGGCAGCATCAAGTCTTTTTATGCTGCCGTTTTTGTTTACCACCAATTCAAAGACTGTGTTCACTAGACAAATTGATAAACAATTGAGAAACACGTACACTGACTTTAAAATTGTGACTTTAATTTAATTTGGCCACCAATACAGTGATGCATACATTTGTCAGCACATCGTCTGGACAACTGCTGCTACAAAAACAACAACAACGATCAAAGAAGCTTTGTACTAATGGTATTCAAAATGATGTTGATGGAACAAAACTGCTTTGCCCCCGCACACTTAGACAACACACCAACTGCATCCTAGATGATATTTGATGATAAATTAGGCCACACTGCACATTTAGTAGCGGTAGTAGGTAATAAAATCTAACACTCTTCAACTACCTTAATTGTTGTTTTAGATTTAATCGTTCTTTCCTCCTTCTCTTTTGACTGTGACGCGTAACCCAGTGAAAACACTGTCTATTATGATCCTCAGCAATGTTTTATACTGAAAAAAAAGTAAAAGGCCATAGTGATCAATTGGAGCTAAAATTGCCGCTTTTTGCACCTCTACAGCAGTGGCTGATCAATTTGATCAAGATGGAGCAGCAGCAAAAACTGTTGCTGCTGTTGCTGTTGCTGTTGCTAGTTGACAAGGTAAAAGAAAAGGGAAAGCAAGAAGGGAACACTGTCTGGGAAAAACACTAGTGCAAGCAAGTATGTTATGTGTTGCCTGTGAACACCTGAGCAGCATCAGCAGCAGTAAGAATGTTTAATGGTAAACCTTTCACTACTTAATGCATTAGGGTTGAAACTGTGCTTGCTGCTGCTGCTGGCTGCTGCTGCTGCTGTTGTTGTTGTTTGCTGCTTATGAACGGCTCAATCGCAGCAGTC